CTATAAACTTGAAAGTTGCTGAGAGAATATATCTTAAATGTTCTCACCACAAAAAGAAATGGTAATTATGTGAGATGGTGGAGGCATTAACTAATGCTGGTGTGTGCATCATTTAGCAACCTGTAAGTGTATGAAATCAATGCGTTGTATGCTTTAAAATTACACAGTGATATATGTCAATTATATCTCAATAAAGCTTGAAAAAATAAAAATAAAAAATACATTAATAAGTCTAATTTTTCTACTATTTATCTAAACATAAAATCTTCTGTTGTCTTCAGGGTGTTAGAGAAAATTGGTGGAATAAGTCTATTACATGTTCAAATAGTTTTTTATACTGATGATGTTACTAAAAATATGTTAACCCATGATATTGTATAATAAAATGTATGTCTAGAATACTCACAAAAAATAAAACAATGCAAAGCATATAATATAGTGGAAATGATTACAGGTTTTCTTTATTTTTGCCTCATCAAAGTTTTTTTTAAAACACAGAAATAAAATGCTTCTATTACGAGATTAGATCTTGGCTCCAATAGGACACATCAATTTCACTTAAAATTACCGCTGCACTTTTAAAAACAAACAGTTGAATTCAATGATATAACCAATCAATCCTTTAATCCTTCAAATAAATCTATTTGCCTACAATTTAAGTGCTGATTATTTTTTTCAGACTAGTGTATAAAAATGTAAGTTAATGCCATTTTTTATCATAGAGAAACTGAAACCTGGAACCTTAACTCTGTTAAAACGAGAATAACAAGATGCTTTTTTGAGTCACATAAATATTGAATGTAGAAGATCAAAAACCAATAATAGACAATTCTAACAGAACCATAAATCTTTGCCAGGGTGTGAGGTCAGTATCTTATTAAAATATCACCTCCTTAAAAATTAATCGCATGAGTTCGGTTTCAGTGAAAACATTTCAAAAAATTGTTTTAAAGTTCCTGAATTGATATTTGGGGTTGACAGTCTTTGATGAGAGTCAACATGTGATTTATGCTACCTATCTAGTAGAGGATTTAACTTTCTCAAGAGAAGTAATATTTGTAATGTGTCACATACGATCACATATGTGGTACCCATACGTGATATGTAACATGCCACGTAGACATATATGAGAGGCCCACTTACTATCTCAGCAGTTTCCTATGAGTTATTTCTAAGTAGGCACTTTGGTTCTCATCCTAGCCATACAAATGAACCAAAGAAAATCAGATGCACTAGTTTGCAATGAAAGAAGTCTACAGGCAGAGATCCTGGCATGATTCAAATTTTATAAGGAATCATGCTAGATTGATTGATTGTAACAGTACTAAATAAGAGAAATGTTTCCATACTTACCAGAAAAATATTTTTACATTGTGAACAAACTTTGAATATACACAGTAACACTTCTTTTTTTTCTTTCTTTCTTTTTTAAATTTATTTATTTGAGAGAGGGTGTGTGTGAGCAGGGGGAGGGCTAGAGGGAGAGGGAAAGGAGCAGACTCCCCACTGAGCAGTGAGCCCATCTTGCGGCTCCATCACGACCCCAAAATCATTACCTGAGCTGAAATCAAGATTCCAGCACTCAACCCACTGACCCACCCAGGTGCTCCTACAATAACATTTTATATCATTTTTTACATCAGACTCTGAATAAAAACCACAATTCAGTAGTCTTCATTTATATTGGGAAAATGTGTTTCTCCCACCATTTAAGTATCCTTTGTGTGGGTAATTCTATGTGATTCAACAGTTTAATTTATAACTTCTTCTTTGCTCAGAGGCCAATTTTACTTGAGCTTATTCAAATGAAATTATATTAGATTCCATTTTATACCTGATTAGACTGTCTCTGTGACATAAAGTCATGGCACAATGTGGGGAAATTATCAGCTTCTGCTTTTGGAAAATAGATTAATATTAAAATGGAGGCTGATGCAGAAAAAAATCAGTCAAAAAGGATAATGCACCTATATTCATCTTTTGATATCAATTTTTCTCTAATTTAACTACAAGGTGAAAAAAGTGTTACAAAATTTTAACATTTAAAGATTAAAAATAAACATATTTTTCATAGGCACTATTAGCAATGATAATCTTAATAGCCTAAGTGAAAGTAACTTAAATGTGTATAGATAAAAAACCATATATATACCTATATCTATATCCACATCTGTCTCTTTACCTGTAACTCATGTCTATTATATAGCTTCTGATGTAATGTTTCCACAGAATGGATTGAATTACAAAATGTAAGAAATTCAAAAGAAATCTGTTTAACAATGTGTGATTCTTGGTCCTGTGTACTGACTCTCATTGCACAATTAACATTATCATGGAAAATAAATGACATTCTCTTGAATTAATTTTAAAATATTTTATTTGTTAATATGAAATATTACAAATAATTTTTTCCTGTCAGAAACGAAGTCATCTTTTTTTATCGATGTGTAATTAACATACAATATTATATTTGTTTCAGGTGTATAACATAGTGATTTGATTATATATATTACAAAATGCTCACCATGAGAAGTATAATTATCATCTATCACCATATAAAGCTCTTACAGTATTATTGACTGTATTTCCTATGCTATCTTTTTCAGCCTCATGATTTATTTGATAACTAGAAGTTTCTCTTATCTTCCTATCCCTTCTCCCCAGCAATCACCTGTTTCTTCTCTGTATTTATGAGTGTATTTCTGGTTTTTGCTTGTTCATTTGTTTTCTAGAGTCTACATAGAAATGAAATCATATGGCATTTGTCTTTCTCTTTCTGACTTCTTTCACTTAGCAAAATGCCCTCTAGGTCCATCAATGTTGTTGTGAAAGGCAAAATTTCATTCTTTTTTATGGCTGAGTAATATTCTATTGTATATACCACATCTTTTTTTTAAAGATTTTATTTATTTATTTATTTGAGAGAGAGAGAGAGAGAGCATGCATGCACATGCATGAGCAGGGGCAGGGGGCAGAGGCAGAGGGAGGAGCAGACTCCCCGCTGAGCAGGGGTCCTGACATGGGGCTCCATCCCAGGACCCTGAGATCATGACCAGAGCCAAAGGCAAACACTTAACCAACTGAGCCACTCAGGCACCCCTATATACCATACCTATATCCATTCATCTATTGATGGACACTTAGGTTGCTTCCATTTCTTGGCTATTGCAAATAATGTTGCATTGAACATAGGGGTGCATATATCATTTCAAATTAGTATTTTTTCCCTCTGGGTAACTACCCAGAAGTAGAATTATGGCATTGTATGGTATTTCTGCTTTTAATTTTTTGAGAAACCTCCATACTGTTTTCCATAGTGGTAGTACCAGTTTAGATTTCCACCAACAGTGCATGAGGGTTCCCTTTCCTCCACTTGTTATTTCTTGTTTTTGATACTAGCTGTTCTGACAGGTATTAAGGGTTATCCCATTGCAGTTTTCATTTGCATTTCCCTGATGATGAGTGATATTGAGCAGTTTTAAATGTGCCTATTGGCCATCTGCATGTTTTCTTTGGAAAAGCCTCTATTTAGGTCATCTGCCCAGTTTTTAATTGGATTATTTGTTTTTTTGGTGGTGAGTTGTATGAGTTCTTTTATTCAATTAATTTAAAAATATTTTAAAATTTTCAACATAAATTATTACAAACAAAATTTATAGATTAATACAGCAGATTTCCATGTAATACTCAACAAAGTAGATTGACAAATATTAATATTTTATAATATGTGCTTCATATATTTTTACTTTAAGTTAGAAACTGTTTCAACACTGTAAATCAAGACCAATTTGTTGATGGATACTTCATGGGAAATTTATACGTTAATAATTCTAAGTCTTTTCCTCAAAGGAGGATATTGGTTTATGGTAATGATAACAGTGATAATATTGAAAATAATATTTCCTGAGTCCCAGTTGAATTCCCTCTCCATTATTTCAAAGACTTGATATTTGAAGACAATAAAAGTTAGCTGTCGACACCATTAAAGAGTGATCACACTTTTGAGAATTAAATTCTGATTTCCCAACACATTTGTGTGTTTATAAAACTGTATGAAGATTGGGTTTGCTCCATAGTAATATTGATGATACATTAAGACTGTTAATCACACATTACATCTTTTGTACATTGCTTTACTCAGTTAATTTTACCAAGTTATGTCTAAATATTAAGTAAATAACAAAATCATTGGATAAAACATGCTTATAATCTCAGGGAGGACATAAATACAGCTTATAAACATTTTAGTACATAGACATGAATCAATCGCTGTTAAATATTAATGATTACACTTAAAATGCACATTTATTAGTATAGCAGACTAGATTTTTAGAATCAAAAAACAGAAACTGATTCTACCTGACTTAAACTAAAAAAACAAAAACAAGCTATTGAGAGGGCATGGAGTGACTCCAAAAAGTTTGGTGAAGGTCAGAGAACAAGGCTGAAGGTTATCCACTCATCATTCAGAGATTGTTGATAATGCCAGTCACTGCCACCAGGCTCTGGACACTCAAACATTGCTTCCCTTACCAACTCCAGACTCTGGTGCTTCCTCTGTTACTATTACTGCTTTTGGAATCAATGTAGCTACTGCTCCTGCCAACTCTGCTTCTCTTCACCAAGCAGGATTCTATGTGACACCTGAATATCCTTGTTATTGCTTCACGGTCACAGTCTGGGATAGAGATTTCTGGGTAAAATCTAGATCATGTGCCTGTATCTTCACACCAGGAGAGTCAAATGACCATTTTTTTAACATCTTCAAATTTGAGTGTGGGGACTCAATATCCCACTCTTAAAAATGGGTCAGAAGCTGGATGATGAAAAAACTAATAAATGTCTATTACCATCATAAGAAATGCAATACTAAGTAATGAAAGCAATCTTAAAAAATATGAATGAACTCAACTCAGAAAAAATAACAACACTGATAGGAACTAATGGTACTCAGAATTAAAAGGGATTCTCTACATGGCAGTATGATCTCAAATGATGGAGCCTGGCTGGCTCAGCTGGTAGAGCATGTGACTCCTGATCTCAGGGTTGTAGGTTCAAGCCCCATGTTGGGTGTAGAGATTACTTAAAATAAAACAGAAACAAAACCTTCCAATGATTTACTAATGTGAGTTAAATAGGATTCAGAGAAGTATATCATATTTTTTGGTGTCAGTAGGTAATATAAACTCTACATGGTCCCAAATAACCTTATACTAAAATACTACAGTTCACATGGGAAGTGGTTGCTATCTTTAGAAAAATGGAAGCTTTGAGTTTGTTTATTTGTGATGGATAAGCATAGTCCATTCTACACTCTCCTTATATGATTTACTATAGTATTGAATTTTTTGCAGGATTCTTTTAACACCTTTGGCAGATTCCTCTTGAAGTTGTCGCATACACTATGTGAACAACTGACTATGGTTAGATTCGATCTGTGACTGTAGAGTAGTGCAAGCAACTTTGTTTTCCATAATATTGGTACAATCTATAAATTCTGTTTTAATCCTCCTTATATAAATGACATTTGACTTAAAAAAAAAGACAAGGCAAAATTTACAATATCCTGGCTCACAGAAGATTAATGCAGAAGCTCCAATTACCATTCTTACTTTCAGCATAAACTTAAGTGATATTAGGGACACCTGGGTGGCTCAGTCAGTTAAGCATCTGCCTTTGGCTCAGGTCATGATCTCAGGGTCCTGAGATTGAGTCCCGTATCAGCCACCCTGCTCAGTGGGGAGCCTGCTTCTCCCTTTGCCTCTGCTGTTCTCCCTGCTTGTGCTCTCTCTCTCTTGCTCTCTGACAAATAAATAAACAAAAATCTTAAAAAAAAATTAGATATCACTGTATCTAATGATTCCTAAATGATGAAATGGTGATAAAAAATGAATCTGTGAAAAAAAAATGAATCTGTGAAAATTTTTCATGGAAACATTAGAAAACATAGTATAAATCAATGCTGTACAGCTTTTGATTATATTAGAGGAAATAAAGTATGTGGAACAAAGAGGCAGAGATCATTATTCATTTACTTGTTCATTCAACAAACATTTATTGAGTGCTCATTATGTACCTTAGGCATCTGGTGTATATAAGTGAACAAAATAGACTGCCTTCCAAAAAAAAAAAAAAAAAACCACACCAGAAAGTTGACCTTGTGGACTTCACAACCTAGTAGAGCATGTGGGTTTTTTTTTGGGGGGGGGGGTTATTTTACTATTTAAATTTATTTTAATTCCAGGATAGTTAACATACAGTGCTATATTAGTTTTAGGTGTACAATATAATGATCCAATAATTCTGTACATTACTCAGTGCTCATTAAGACAAGTGCACTCCTATTTAACCTATTTAACCCATTCCCCCACTCACGTCCCCTCTGGTAACATCTGTTTGTTCTTTATAGTTAAGAGTCTGTTTTTTTGGTTTCTCCTTTTTTTTTTTTTAAGATTTTATTTATTTATTTGAGAAAGAGAGAGAAAGAGAGAGATAGCATGAGCAGGGGGCAGGGACAGAGGGAGAGGGAGAAGCAGACTCCCCCCTGAGCAGGGAGCCTGACACGGGGCTCGATCCCAGGACCCTGAGATCATGACTTGAGCCCAAGGCAGATGCTTAACCAACTGAACCACCCATATGTCTCTGGCCTCCCTTTTTTTCTTTTGTTCATTTGTTTTGTTTCTTAAATTCCACATATGAGTGAAATCATAAATAATTGTCTTTCTCTGACTGACTTATTTCGCTTAGCATTATACTCTCTAGATCCATCCATATTGTTGCAAATGGTAAGATTTCACTCTTTTTTTATGGCTGAATGATATTCCACATATATGTATACTCATACACAGAGACACATACACACACCCTGCATCTTTATCCCTTCATCTGTCAGTGGATATTTGGGCTCCTGCCATAGTTTGGCCCTTATAAATAATGCTGCAATAAGCATAGGGGTGTATATATCCCTTCAAATTAATGTTTTCCTATTCTTTGTGTAAATACCCAGTAGTGCAATTATTGGATTGTAGGGTAGTTCTATTTCCAATTTGTTGAAGAACCTCCATACTGTTTTCCACATCAGTTTGCATTCCCACCAACAGTGTATGAGGGTTCCTTTTTCTCCACATCCTTGGAAACACTTGTTTCTTGAGTTTTTGATTTTAGCCATTCTGACAGGTATGAGGTGGTTTATCACTGTAGTTTTGATTTGCATTTCCCTGGTGATGAATAATGGCAAGCATCTTTTCATGTGTCTGTTGACCATCTGTATGTCTTCTTTGGAGAAATGTCTGTTCGTGTCTTCTGCCCATTTTTAAATCGGACTATTTGTGTTTTTGGTGTCGAGTTGTGTAAGTTCTTTATATATTTTGGATACTAACCCTAGCAATGTGGATTTGAGAAAGTAAATTTTAAAGATTTTATAGTGATAAGTGCTACGAATGAAAAAGAATAAGGGAGGGGGCATGGGGAGACCTGGGGGGTGGTGGACTTGGAGGTGGTAGGGGAAGTTTGCAATTTTAAATAATATTTTTTTAGCATCACAAAGAAGGTTATATTTGATCACAGATTTAGAGGAGAGGCTAAGGGCATTCACCATGTTAGTATCTGTGGAAAGTGTATTCCAAGTAGAAAGGACAACCAGTAAAAAGGCAGGATAATGCCTATTATGTTCAAGGAACAGCATGAAGGCCAGCATGACTGGAATGTAGTGAACAAGGTAACATGGTTAGAGCGTAGTAGGGTATGAGGCCAGAATAGTAAAAGGGCCAGATTGCAGAGGATATTGAAGATCAGTGTACATGGATAGGCCATCTCTGAGGGACATGGAGAGCCACTTTGTATTGTTTGCAGGATTATCTTAGGGTGGTAATAAACATTAGAGCCCCAAACTGGAATATGGCCCCCTGAGTTCCAAGTTGACTCTTGGGTACAATACTTAACTCTCTAAACGTTTTTGTCTTTATCTACAAAACAGATGAACAGATACATGCAAAGTTTATACATAATTTGCACAGGGTAAGAGCATGAGGAATGTGAGTTAGCTACCATTAATAGTGGCAAATGTTAGTGCTGGTAGGAGTAGACCACTTTACAAATTCCATCAAGGGATTACAAACAGCATATATATGTGTGGTTTAATACTGTAATTTTATATTTACAAAATATTTATTTTGGAAATTCAACTATGGAAAAATTAAAGCTTGAAAATAACTCTGTGGCAGTTGGGAGCATATTTAGTGATAAATAAAAGCAGGGGAGTGGAGGGTTGTCTGGCTGTCTCAGTAGAGCATGCGACTCTTGATTTTGGGGTTGTGAGTTTGAGCCCTATGTTGGACGTAGAGCTAACTTAAAAAAAAAAAATACAGGGAGTGGAGATGGAATTTGGCCTACCACTGTCTTTGAAGGCAGTAGGAGCATGAGCATTTTATAATCTCAAGGGGGCATAATAGACAATAGATTGAGAAAACTGGTTATGCTTTCTTTGAAATCTCACAACAGCAAGAATAAAATAAAACTAATATGAGGTAAGCTGTGTACTAATTACTTGTAACACATTACATTTAAATGTTAGTATTGCAATATAAGTACATATTCTTGGAATCTAGAACATAAAAAAATAACCAGAGTTAAGTTTACACAATGTAGTTCAAGAAAGTATTTTGATCTACCTTTGGAATATTCTCATGGTAGAAATAGACATGCCAAGATATCAAGTGTACTGATACTAGATAGTAAGATAAAATAGTCTAATTTTGTTTTATTGTAGCTGAGAGAGCAACAGAAACAGATTTAGATTAACCGGTATGTGATCCTGGACAATTCAATATACAAATGTAAATGTTTCTAATTACTTATATCATTATCATCATCATCAATATAGATTTTAATAAATTTTTCTCTGAGAAAGCATCTTTCAAAAGTATACTAAATGCATGCTTTGCTCAGTGAATTGCCCATTAGAAGTTATTTAAATCAGTTTCAATGTCAAGCTCTTAAATGGTTCATTCTCATTCAACTCTTGATTAACTCTGAATGTATTATTCACTTGGTTATTTGTAAAAAGCCAGCCACCACAAATATTTAATGCCAACATTGTTTACCCAGGATTTCTGGATACTCTAGGTTCAACATCTTTGGACCGTGATTTTCTCTATGTATGGGATTAGGGCAGGAAAACCTCAAGGGGTCTTGTCAGTGAAAAAAGACTCAACTGTGTTCACTAAAACATCCTTCTCATATTCATTTGCCTTCTCTTCCAAGCCCTTCATCTTTTAGAGATAGGCTTTTCTAACTAGTCAATTTCATTATTTCAGATTAGGAGGTGGCACATTTCTCAGTGTCCATTAATTCATTGACATCCTACTTTATAAATGAATATTCTTGTTAATTTACTTACCATGAAATAATTCCCCAAAGTAGGAGCACTTTAGGTGAACTGCAAATAATTTTTTTTTTTTTTTTTTTTTTTTTTTAGTTTTAGTTTTTAAAACACAAAATAACTGAACTATCTCTAAATTGAGGCTATGGCCATACCATAGAATTTCTAGTTTGAAAAAAAGAATAATTTATTAAATGATAGTTTTCTAAATCCATATAAATTTGCCAAGAGAAGTTGATTGTTCCACACGTTTTTGAATTTCATCAGTGTAAGGAGTAAGCAAAAGGAATATGAGTGGTATTTCAATGTCCTGGAACAAACCTTTTAATGTGTTTGTATGTATTACTGAAAATGTGGCATATAAAATATTTAAGTTCACTTCATTACAGTGTTGAAACAGGATTGAAATGGATCAAGAACTATATATAACCAGTGAGCCAGCCAAGTCAACCACATGTGAAGATAGAAAATCCTCCATAAATGTGACACACAACATTAACTATAAATGTAACCATGGCCTCCCATTTCATTGGTGATCTTCAATATACTTCTCAAGTGTTATGCAAGTATAATCCATCAAAAGCTCAGACAGAAAAGCCAGATGACAGGTAAATCTTTATCAAAATCCTCACATGAGAGGCACTGCTTTTGTAGAATTTAAAACCAGCAGTCCATTATATTAGAGAAGGCAGAT